CAACTATGTGAACCTCTAGGTTCCCTGCACCTCACACCAGCAGATGTTTGTCTCCCTCTCCCCAGTGAAAGAATCTCTAAGGTTATAATATAACACACTGCTTCATAAAAGGCTGACCATTTTATCTTTCAATTTTGGAGTATTTCAACAGGAAACTGGATAATTTTAACTGCCAAGACTCATTAAACTCATTTAAATATTTCTTATAGACCAAAATGGATTCTCAGACACCCATACAAGCATAACAGTAATGTATAAATATAACAAAAACACTAATCCTTGTATTTTTTATTTTATTTTTACCTATGTAACTATTTTCCAGAAAAGTGCAAAAAAGGTGAAGTTGTTTTCTTGACATACATGCATTTGATTTACAAGGTTTTTATCACTTACCGGTACTACTGCACTCCATTCTAGTGGGTGCTGGGGACACTGGAGCGAGCTGGTGTGTGTTAGGTGAATTTGTCTTTACAGGGATTAGGGCGATTCTCCTGTATAGTGGCAGATAGAAAGAGAAGGGTCAAAGTCATCATTTACTGCAAACTATAAACTAGCTGACATTACACTTACAGTCCCTATAAAAATACTCATACTAAGATATGGAATTTGGAGTTCAAATGCCAAACTTGCAGGCTCATTGTGGCTTAACCACAGCCTAGCTGAAAAACTAGTAACTGGAAAGATCCGTGCCATCCTGCCTGTGATCTGAGACGCCCTATACATTAGGCATGCAATTGGGTTGGAGAATGCCCTGCGCATACATGAGACTTGAAAGAGGGAGAACACTTATCTTTTTTTTACAGCTTTAGATAATGATTGGTAGTTACAGATTAGAAATTAAAGAAAAGTTTCAAAATGGCTTGCTTGTCAGATGTAATAAAAGTTATTTACCCGTGCCTAGTTTTTTGGGATAGCAAGTTTAGAAATACTACACAAACCAGTCTTAGAAGGACTTGCAGGGAGGGAGAGTTCAGAGTTTGGGTCACTAATAAGGTGATCCTCCTTAGCAGCTTAAAAGGTAGGCAGGAGAGGACATCTCTAAAGCCTAGAGGATAAGATCATGCTGGAATTTGCAGGAGCCTGAGATTGCAAGTGCAATGCTCTGCAGACTCCTTCGCGTGAACATTTTTTTACCTACAAAAAAAAAAAAACTGCATTTATTTTATTATAGTTTTTAAAAATGAATTTATCCTTTAACCATAGTCATTTTTTTTATTTCTGGATAAGATGGAGAAAAAAAAAAAAAAGTAAAAATTTCGGTCAGGTTTTTCATTTGTCATTGTAACCAGGTTGGATAGATTTTCTCTTCTTGTCCCAGGACATGATGGCAGAGACAACAAATGTTTTTCGCCATTGTACACTTTGGAGAGATTTATCACTTCCTGTTTTGACAGCAAATACGTGGAAACCTTCTCAATAGGTACACCAATAATATCACAGGGAGGCTCTAACCCTTCCCTACCCTATCCAAAACAAAAGAGAACATTTTGGATGGAGTCAGCTTTACAACAATAAATTAAAGCAGAAGGCGGCATGTTTCCTCCCCACCATAAGGAGGAACAAATCATCTTATTTTACTTTGTTGGAACCGACAACAATCATTGCTTAAAAATAGAAGTGTGGTCGAAGCTTGTCTTACACCTCATGTAGATCACTCCTGTGACCTTTATTTAGCTGACAGCAGGCTAAAGCCCTCTGCCGACTGACATCTCGGATTTGCCTCAGACTCAGAGGATCCCGATAATGTCAGGGTCCATCCAGATGCCTGACTGACTGCTGACTCAGCTGCTCCTGTCCCGTGCTCCAGTGAGCACTGGAGGGGCAGAATAGAGAACAGTGACTGACAGTCTCTTCTCAGAGCTAAACATTAAACATTCAGCAGTCACTTGATAGCTTAGTTCACAGACATAAAGGCAGCAGGGGAGGGACAGCTGCAGCTCTGGACTGGGGTGAGTATACAGGAGTTTTATGGGGTTTTTTTTTTTTTAAATTCCCGCACTTCAATAAAGAAAAAGTGTATATAACACCTAACTAAATAAGTAACATGCTATAAACCATATTGAGAGTTCAACATGTTCCTAAGCACCCTCATATCACCCCCAGAGCCCAATCCCTTGTGATTTTCCTGCACAGCCACATTTGAAATAGGTGCAGCTGTGCAGGGCTCCAGAGCCACCCCCCATTAATTTACAGAAATCTGTGGAAGCTGTTCTAAACCGATCCTCCTCTTCTGGGGTCCCCAGCTGGCGCTCCTGGCTCCTCCTCTTTGACGAGTACCAACATAGGAAGTGGCTTCCTATGGGGGTACTCATATGGCTTGATCCCGGCCTTGATCCTTCGTCCATAGACACAGAGAGTGCGGCTTGACATCGACCCCCTGTAACAGGATCTGATTTTAACCGCAGCAGATGAACTTTGACCTGACCTGAAAACTCTCAGGACGTTGCCAAGTGAGGCCTAGCTATCACTGGTCATCTTTAGCATCACAGGAGACAGCTCTTTCTCTGATTCAGACCCTTTCATGTGCCCTCCCCCCACGCAGTAGCTCGGAACGCAGTTTGAGAGCTCACTCCGGTGATGAAGGTGGTGAGCAGCAATAACTAGGCCTCGCTTATCAACATCCTGGGAGTTTTCAGGTCAGGCTACATAAGGTATGTAAATGGCCTACACCTATAGCAAGGACATTATTCAACTTTGGTCAAAGCTGCACAGCTTGTTTCCATAAAGCAACCCATAGGGGATTCAGTTTTTTTTTCATACAACCAGTACAGTATGTTGAACAAAAAAAGCTTACCCGATTCCCCCATCAACCCACTGGATGTAGATAGGGGAATACTCCCCGCTGAGCTACTTGTAGTCTGACAGTGAAGAAATCTCCTCGCTATCAGAACAGACAGATCAGCGCTGCCAACTGTAACCGAAGAAACTGATCAAGCAGGGAAAATCCGACATGCTGGGTGCACAAATGTCGATCGGTAGATTGACTTCAGTGCAACCAGCCTCCACATACTGGGTTCAAGATTTGTCCTGTCTCTGCTGAACCGGCCAAACTTTGTTTCATTTATGGCCGACTTTATTCAGGCATCACTCCCTTTTCTTTATTTAAAGTGGAACTTTAGTCAGAAAATGAAGTCCTGCTTTATCACTTCAGGCTCGCCCCTTTTGCAGGTATAGCTTTGTAAGCATTAAAAGTAAGTGTCTATACTGTTTAAAATCCGATAATACACTGTCTCACCCTGCTCTGCACATGCTCAGTTGCTCTCCATTTTTAGGCCCTACTGAATTTGTAGAGGTTGATTTGCTGACAGCCTTAAAGCGGAATTAAATCCTCCTATGCTTTAGGGCCAATTCACACCAGTGTGTTTTAGCACAGCTGTAAAACTCAGATCAACAGAAGGGCATCTGAAAAACAATTTCCAATGTGTCCTATTTACACCATAACATTGCATTGCGCTGTGCTAAAATGCAAAATGTATGGCAACGGACGTCGTCAAAAAGTATGGCAAACGGACGTCAAAAAGTATGGCAACGGACGTCAAAATGTATGGCAATGGACGTCAGTGTGCATTCAAACACAATTAAAATGCATGGAAACGTACATGCATTGTAGCGCAAGTCAGTGTGAATTGGCCCTTCTAGCTAAGGAAGCTGCTAATGTTTGATCTGCCACCGTCATGGTGCTGCACATGCAATCAGTTAGCCATTTGATAGCTTGACAGTTTTGGTTGTGAACACAAGTAAATGTGACAGTGAGCAAACCCAGCATTCCAGGATTGATGGGTTTAGTTGCGCTTTATGATTTACTGCTGTTCAGGGACTCTGGGCTTCAGCAAAATGGCAGCCTCCAGCAAGAAGAAACAGGAGCAATACTGGAGGCAAGTTACAACACACTATAATTTTGGTAGAATAATTATTAATGTGGAATGTATGTTCTTTGCTAAAGAACATTCTTTTATAGCACATTGTTATGGGTAAAGTTCTGCTTCAAGTTCGTACTCTGCCTCTGTTGGGTAAATCCATCCTATTTGGCCTGATGATTATTGTCATGAACCAGAAAGTGCTAGGAAATCCAAAATTTTACAGTTGTCACTGGATCGGGAGGTGAGAAGAAATTTTTTAGTGGAAAGCCTGTTCAGGTGACCACTGTCTAAGAGGGGATTTCCCTTCACTTCCTGTTGTGTCATCAGGACAGAAAGTGAAGGGAAATTTCCCTAAGGGGACACAGACAGCAAAAGGTGTTTTACTCACTCACTACTCTTCCCAAAACTAAAAGAAAATGCATTGCTTTACATACACTAATTTCTTGTAAACAATACTTAACAGAAGAACAACTAGAAACTGAATCACAGGATACGACTCAAAAGCTAAAATTAAAGGATAAGTTCACCTTGTGCCACCCGTAACATGTTCCTGTTCCTGCAGCCTCCTCTACCTAATCAATTCCCCCCTCATTGTGACAGTGGGCCAGGGATCTTCTCCTGCACCTGGTGTCACATTTTGCAAAGAGTGCGGCCGTGCAGGACCCCAACCAAACAATTGCACCTTTCATTCACAGAGTTGTGTGAATGAACTAAAAGTACCAAGAGCCTTTGCAGCTGACGTCTTATGGTTTTTAATGAACTGTGAGGCCCTGGTAAGCGCTCTGGCAGCCCACTGATTCTTGTCATTGTCTAAATGCCTGCCGTATGAGATAAGGACAGACAGCTGCATTGACAGTCTGCTGGAGCCTGAGATTGCATCCACAATCTACTGATCACGCATGCAATGTTTTACAGCCTCCTAAAAAATAAATTACCTGCTAAAAAAATGTGCATGTATATGTGTGAGTGTGTATATTTTATTTTATTTTCTTTTTTAGAAAGGTGAACTTATTCTTTAATAAGATAAGAAAAAGAAGGAGTGAGTCAGAGCCAAGAACAAGAAAGGAAAAAAAATGCCTCTCATAACTACTACCACACCTCATAAGTCATTAGAGTTCATTGATGAAAAGGCCCACTAGATTAAAAGACATCAACTAACCGTGGGCTGGGTGTAATAGGATTGATGGGCCTGCTCCAAGCCTCCAGAGTGTTGAGTGTAATCCTCCTGGGCTGTGCAGCTTTACGGTTTTGTCCACTCTTCCTGTCCTCAGAGGTGGGCGTGGTTGGAACACTAGTTATGCCCACCGGAGTTGTTGGCTTATCACCACTTGTGGCGGCTGCTGTGATTTTGCTGTGGATCGGGGTGCACGGACTGGACTGCTCAAATAGCCTTGCAGAAGGGGCCAGTTCCCCTGCTCGGAGAAGTGGAGAGGAAACCCTTCTACCTTGAGACTTCCTAATCTTCTTCTCCGCTGTGGAAGGAGTTCTTAGAATTAAAGCAGGTTTCTCCTTAAGTGGCACCCCAATCTCGCCTTCTTCAAAAGTGACAAATGAGCAGTATCCATCGGTGGAGGAGATGGCTAGGAAGGACCCATCGCTGGACCTAGCAAACAAAGAAAAAGGGAATATTAGAAGGTTTCTATCAGGTTTTAGGCTTTATTCAGATGGCTGAATATCTGCGGTCAGGGAAAACCACTGGCAAGAATTTGCTTGCCGGCGGTTGTAAACTCTCTCAACACACAGGAGCCACTGCTGTTCGAATGTAACCAATCATCCAAATGTTCACATGTAACCATCTGTTCGAAAAGTCTCTGACCGACCTTGAATGGAACCACTGTACAGCAGGGCAGTTCTGCAGAGTTTTGGTAATCAGCCAGTTTGCATGTGGCCATAGAAAATGCTGTATCCAGAGGTCTACCTGCCCCTGAAAGCAGCAAACTAGCAGCAGATATTTTGCAGTCTCAATGTAGCCTTAAACTAAAGGAAAACCTTTTTTTTTTTTTTTAGTTCTGGACAGAGTGGAGAGGGATTAGAACCCTTGTCAGCTTTTATTGCTGTGTGTGCACCCGTTAGGAAGATCCACCCTCTCCAATTGTCCTGTTTACCATTGTCATTAAAAGTAATAGTGGGGAGTCTTCCAATGAGGACACTAGTTCTGGTGACCTGGAGGTCCCCAAGGAATTCCCTTAGTTTGCATGGATTTCCTCTCGCTTTCTATTTGGCTATGGGACAGAAAGTGAAGAGAAATCTCAATGTGACACAGATGGCGAAAAAAATTGACAGGAGTGCTCTCTTGCTCTATCCAAAATGAAAAAAATAAATAAAAAAGTTGCCTATAGTCCTGCTTTAATTGCTTTTTAATAACAGTAATCAAACTGGGGCAGAAAGTGGAGGACAAACCACTCCAGTGGAGACCAAACAGCCTTGATGGGATTTGCACTGAATAAAACAACTCCAGAAAACACAAAGCAAACTGAGCTACTAAAATCAGCCATAGATTGATCAAATCTCAGCCAGTTCAGCAAGAACCAGCCGAAATTTGATCCACCTATGGGGGCAGGCTGCTTGTGCTGAAGTTGATCAGCCTGGCTGTACTGAAGACTTCAGTTCAACCAGTCCGTTTGATTTTTCAGATGTGATTACTGCTGGCGGCTATAGCCACTAGCAGTAATCATTGGGTCATGTTGACCGGTGTCATAACACAATAGTTGTGCAAAAGCGATTTTCTTTCCTGCAGGCTATGGTTGCATGAAAGAAAGTAGAATAATCTATGGCCAGCCTAAGGCTATCAGGTTAATACTGCAACTATGTAAAGTTAAAAAAAAATTCTCAATATACAATGTCATCAACATACAAAGTTTAAAACACAAACAGGTTAAAAAATTATTCTTGTCTTCAACAGTTTACTCTGCTTCACCGGCCCTACCTTTGAAAGTGAGTAGGTTTTGAATTTCTGTATGTTAACCACAATTTACAGCCTGTATTGACTGGCTTTGTTTATTTTGTTGGGAATGCAACAGCATGTACTATATACAGTATTGTGTGTTAATATCACTTGACCAGTAGATGGCACTGTACACTAAGGTTACCAGTTGTGCATATCTGTAAAACTTATTGGTTCTTTTTCCTTTTTCTCTCTCTTCATAACCAAGATGTCTGCTGTTACAGTTTGCTGAAATGTTTTGTATGTTTGCAACTTAAGCCACACATGTAAACCAAGTTCTGCCTCATCACAAGCTACTAGTGTCTTCTCTAACACATAACCAATAGGTTATGGGCCCAGCTCCAGACACTGGAAAAAGGAGAACTACAAGCAAGTAAGTGCTGCATTTACAATCCTACCAAATCCTGTGTGAGGAAACAAGAGCTGTATCCAATTCACTGAAAGATGGCAAGTGCTTCAGATATGAAGTTTACAATAGCAAAGCTCAACAATACCAACTACCAGCTATGGAAGTTTAAGCTTGAAATGCTGTTATCCAAAGATGACTTGTGGCAGGTACTAGATACACACAGACCCAATGACAACCCGGAAGAATGGGACAAAAAAACAGGCAAGCAAAAGCAGTCATAAGCCTGTTAGTGGAGGACGATCATCATTCATATAAGGAAAGAAAACACAGCTAAAGGTATGTGGACTGCATTACAAAAACTGCATGAACGTGCAAACCTAAACAGTAAACTTTATCTGCTGCACAAACTGTATAAGATGAGGCTGGAAAAAGGGCAGGAAATGGGTGAACATGTAAATGCTATGCTAGAAATTGTGGACCAGCTGGATGCAATAGGTGAAGAAATGAAAGACAATCATGTTGTGGCACTACTTCTATGGAGCCTTCCAGAATCATACAGTGCCCTTATAAATGCTCTAGAAACTAGACCGGAAACTGAACTGATGCTAGAATATGTTAAGGGAAAATTAATTGATGAATACAGCAGAAGAAAGGAAAATTTGCATAGTGAAGAGAATGAGAGACCAGAGGCAGCTCTGAAGGTGCATGAAGGCATAAGACAAAACAAAGAAACCAGGGTATGTTTTCACTGCAAAAAGGCCGGTCACCTGAAAAAGAACTGTTCAATCTGGAAAGCTGAGCAGCGAAAGCGGGAGCTACCCACAAGAGAAAGAGCTAAAGCGGTCATGAAAGAAAATGAAAGTGCATCATGGAGTGGTACTTTTAAAGTGACTCAGAATAGTACCTCACACGGATGGTATATTGATTCAGGGGCAACAAGTCACATGACAAGCGACGAGACATTCTTCACAGAAATTGATTTTAGTGTAAAAGATAAAGTCTTCCTAGCAAATGGGTAAAGTATTACAGCGGAAGGTAATGGTCAGGGATTTCTGAACTGCAAAGCGCCATCAGGGGGCAAGCAGAGCACCCTTTGTAAAGAATGTTCTTTATGTTCCAAGCCTAGAAGGAAGCCTCCTATCAGTTAAAACCCTTGCAAGCAATGGACTCACTGTCCAGTTCAGAGGTAATGAATGCACAATTCAAAATGGAAAGCAAATTCTAGCAAGAGGAAGGTTAAATGAACATCTGTACAAAATCGTCACTGAAAGTGAGAAGGCTAATGCGGCAACTCATAACCCACATGACAAGTGCATCCACCTGTGGCATAGAAGATTGGGGCATCGAAACCCAGAAGCTATAAAGGACTTTGCAAAGAGAGGTCTATCAGAAGACATGAAAATATTGCCTTGCCACACAGCAAGTGCACGTGTTGCATCAAAGCAAAGGCCACCCGAACCCCTCTTCCACAGACCAGTCAGAGTAAAACCATTAAACCCATGGAACTGATACACAGTGATGTGTGCGGACCAATGAAAACCATCACACCTGGCGGGAACAGATATTTACTGACTTTCATCAACGATTATTTCAGGTACACAATAACGTATCTAATGAAGCACAAAAGTGAGACATTAGAAAAACTTCAAGAGTTTGTAGCTATGACAAGCAACAAGTTTCAAAAGAAACCTGGAATAATACGCACTGACAATGGAGGGGAATATATGAATAAAGAGATGGAATCATACCTAAAGAAACAAGGTATTATACACCAAACAACTGTAACATACACTCCTGAGCAAAACGGTGTAGCGGAAAGAAAGAATCGCACTCTTGTAGAAATGACCAGATGTATGATTTCGGACGCTGCCTTACCTAACAAATACTGGGGAGAAGCAATAATGACTGCAACATACCTACAAAACAGGCTCACATCAAAAGCTATTGAGAGTACACCGTATGAAATGTGGAATGGATCAAAACCTAACGTAGGACACATCAGAGTGTTTGGCTGTAAAGCATATGCCCACATTCCAAGTCAGAAACGCTCCAAGTTGGAGAACAAAGCCATAGAAGGCATTCTGGTGGGCTACAGTGAGCAGAGTAAGGGATTTAGAATCCTTTGTCCAAAGACCAACAAGGTCACAGTAAGCCGCAGTGTTTATTTTGATGAAAGTGAAGCACCAGATAATACAATTCTTGAAAAATGTGGAGAGGATTTACGCGCTGAATCGGCAAGAGACACTGACCCATGCGAAGCAGGACAAGAGCCAGAACAAGAAGTGGAACTTACAATCAACGAGCCAATAGAACCCACTGAACAATAAGAAATCAGAGGATCCTCTTGAATGACAAAAGGGATACCACCCCGCAGGTTATCATACGCTGCTAAAACACATCAAACACAGGAGCCAACATCCTGGGAAGACATAGAAACTTTGCCGAGAAGGGAAGCCGATCAGTGGAGAAAAGCAGCTGAAGAAGAAATAAAATCACTTCAAGAAAATAAAACTTGGTCACTAACAGAACTCCCTCCTGGTCGCAAAACCATCGGAAGCAGATGGACTTTTAAAGTGAAATATGATACAGAAGGAAAAAATCTATAGATACAAAGCAAGATTAGTTGCCAAGGGATACTCCCAGAAATTTGGAGAAGATTACGATGAGACATTTGCTCCAGTTGTGAAACATTCCACCATAAGAACACTCCTTAGTATTGCTGCCGGAAAGGGAATGCAAGTAAAGCACCTAGATGTCAAAACTGCCTTTTTGTATGGAGACATCAAGGAGGATCTGTACATGGAACAGCCACCAGGATTTGAGAAAGAAAAGAACCTTGTATGCAAACTGCAAAAGAGCATCTATGGGCTCAAGCAAGCGGCGAGAGCATGGAATGAAAAAGTGAACGAAATACTCAGAAAAGAAGGGTTCTCAAAAAGTAAAGCAGATCCATGTCTGTATTCAAAGAATCAAGAGAACAAATGGACATACATCCTAATATACGTCGATGACATCTTGACGTGTTTTGAACAAGAAGAGGACTATGACCAAATAGTTCACAAACTGAAACAAAATTTTGAAATTAAAGAGTTGGGGAACATTACTCACTACCTAGGAATTCAAATAGAGCGGGAAGAGGATGGAAGCTATCTTCTTAACCAAAGTCAGAAAATTACAGAAATGTTACAACAGTTTCACATGCAAGATGCAAAGGAAGCGAAAACACCAATGGAACCAGATTATCTAAAAAAAACAATGGAACAGAAAACTTGTTACCTAACAATGATTATTACCGCAGGGCAATCGAAAAATTGCTATACATCGCCACCGTGACAAGACCAGACATCGCCGTAGCAGTGGGAATACTTTGCAGGAAAGTCGCAACACCGTGTCAACGCGACTGGAATGCAGTAAAGAGGGTAATGCAGTACCTAAAGGGAACAAATCGGATGAAGCTGCGACTTCCAGCATCGTCAAACCCAAAACTGATTGGATATGTGGACGCCGATTGAGCTGGAGACACCACTGACCGCAAATCTACAAGTGGTTACATCTTCCAGTATGGAGAAGGAACCATAAGCTGGTCTAGTCGGAAACAAGTGACTGTTGCACTCTCTTCAACTGAAGCGGAATACATAGCAGCAGCACATGCATGTCAAGAAGCCATTTGGATTCGTCAACTTCTACTAGACATGGGACTGAATATGTCACAACCCACACCCATCTATGAAGACAATCAGGGATGCATAAAGCTTACACACTCTGAGAAGATTAACCCAAGAACCAAGCACATTGATGTAAGATATCATCTGCTCAGAGACATGCAAGAACAAGGGGTTATCGACATCCAGTACTGCCCATCAGAGGAGATGATTGCAGATGCACTCACCAAACCTTTGCCAAGGGAACATCATTGTTTCCTACAAAAGAGACTAAATGTCATATAATTATGCACATGCCATTGAGAAGGGGTGTTGGGGAAGCAACAGCATGTACTATATACAGTACTGTGTGTTAATATCACTTGACCAGTAGATGGCACTGTACACTAAGGTTACCAGTTCTGCATATCTGTAAAACTTGTTGGTTCTTTTTTTTCCTCTCTCTCTTCATAACCAAGATGTCTGCTGTTACAGTTTGCTGAAATGTTTTGTATGTTTGGAACTTAAGCCACACAAGTAAACCAAATTCTGCCTCATTACAAGCTACTAGTGTCTTCTCTAACACATAACCAATATATTTTAAGAGGGTTCTGTATTGCCATACAAGTCTACAGAAGTGCAAACCTGCATAAAGAAGGTCAAACTGCAGGTCAAATACACCTCTCAAGTGAATTCTAAATGATCTCAAATGATGCCATCCACACAAACCCAAAGCCATTGGACAGCAATCCCCACTTTAACCCACACAGCATCTCAAAGGGACATGTTTTAAGGTCAACCGGTAACAGACAGGTCAGGATAGCGCTGTGCACAACACAACAAGCAAACTACGCCACCATGAACTGATGTCAAGGCTTCAATTCTGAATGGTGTGCATCAAGAATGTAGAAGCTGAAGTTTAAATAAGATTTTTTATAGCTTGAACCACTGTAAGTATGCATGTCTTGAATTTGAGCTGCAAATCACTGTAGCACTCACCGGTACTACAGAGAAAGAAGCAGTCTTGTGTTTCCAGTGCTGCCCTTCTGCACAGTAACCACAGGGGGTTGCACAGTTGGCGCTGCTGCCATTAGGAGAAACCTCCTAAACCTTGTAATTTTTTCAATGAATACAAAGCATTCCCTGATCGGAAAAGGTAGAGATTGTGATGTTTCCACATTACCCAATATTATAATGATATCATTGAATTTCAGCAAATCTGAGTGAGAAACCACCTGTGGTCACTACGCAGATGAGCAGTCATTTGGCACAGGACCCTGAACACTGTTGCTATCACTGTAGTATTGGTCAGGTATATATGAATACAAGCATTGGTCCAAGCTGGACCACTACATACCTGTGCTACAAATGTCACAAAACTTCAGGTTTTAAGAGTATGTAAACCCAAAATCTCATTTTCCTGATATGTGTCTGTTGTACCATGTACTTGTATGAAAAAGTATCCTGCTCTCTCTGTATTGCTTCCTCTGTGTGAAATCCATGGTGTGCCTGTCAGTCTCCTTACTTTCCATTAAAAAAACTTGACCACACTAAGCAGAACACACCAGGGTCAGTACTCTAGCTATGCTGGGAACTTAGTGTGCTCTCCTCCAATGATCAGACTTGTTCTGACAGCCTTTCTTATTTTCACTGGGAAGTTCAGTGTATGCTGTTTCTCTCCTCCCCCAGCTCTTATGCAGCTGAGAACAGAGAATATGTGATCACTTATATATAAAAAAAAAAAAAAAAAAAAAAAAAAAAAAGGGAAAAGGGTATTTAAATGTTTTTTTATATGCCAACACAAATGTTTTGCCTTTCATTTGTATTTTAAGCTGAATGGGTTGTTTGACAAGGTAGGGGTTTACATTTACTTTAAGTTAATTTCATCCACAACTAGCATCTAACTTGTCCCAGCAAACACTAGGTTTTTTTTTTACTGCCCAGGCAACCTGCTAATTCATACCATGAAAAGTGCATATTTTGACTCGAGGTGAGGTAGTCTTACCAAGATATGTCGCTTAGTGTATGATAATGAACATTGGAAACATAACCGAAGGGGAAGGACTGCTGGGTGTCATAGAAGAGCACAGAATTTTCACAGGCCACTGCAAAGACCATCCGATAGGGTTGAGAGATCAGGCCAGGAGGAGGAGCTTTGCCATCTTCACCTGAGAAGAAATAAAGATTACTGCTTATATCATGAATCCCCCCATGTACATAAACACATAGGAGCGAACTGAACAGTGACACAGGCACAAAGCCCTTTTATTAAAGCAGAACTTCACCCAAAAGGGGAAGTTCCTCTTGTTTGTATACTCCCACCCTCCACTGTCACATTTGGCACTTTTTTTTGGGGGGTGGGAGCAGGTACTTTGTTTTGACAGGTAACCACTACCACTTCCAGTCAGAAGTGCCACGGCAATGGTAGTGGAAGTTGGCCCCTTCCCCTGAAGCCCCCCACATGCGCAGTAGGAAACCGTCTGTGAAGCCACAAAAGGCTACACTGCCCGTTTCCCTTACTTAAGATGACGGTGGCTGGGGTGAGGACAATCAATGAATCTCTGGACAGGTAAGTATCCTTATTTTAAAAGTCAGATACTACAGGATTTGTAGCTGCAGATGTTTAATTCTTTTTTTTTTCGGGGGGTGGGGGAGCGGCCTGGAGCTACGACATATAAACAGGACTGCTTTGGCTGCTTCCCCAGCTACCTCTCCCTGCCACCACCCCTCTGCTTAACTGACAGCTAAAAGGGAGGAGGATGAAGTTTTTTTGGTTAACATGCCAACATATCGCCAGGGAAAGGAGCTTTTTCTGCTTATATGCAGGCTGAGCTCACACAATGGGAAGGGGGGGAAGTGAGGGAATGATTGGCTTTTCTTTTTTTACCCGTCTATGGTGTTCTTTTATCATGTAGTGGTAAATGACCGCTGCTCAGTTCTCCGGCATTCTCGGAGAACACAGTTCTTCTGTGAATGCCTTTTTATGAAGCGGTGTAGATCAGTTCTCCGAATAAAGGGAGAACGATCTACAAAACACTGGAAAACGTCTGGTTTTACTATAATCTCGTGAGATTACAGAAGAGATCAGTCAAACACCGTTTACTAAGCAGCGGTAAATTATCGCTGCTTCATTTGCCGTTCCTCCGATTCTCCAGCTCGAGCTGGAGAATCTGGAGGGAGAACACAGATCGTCAGTAAACATGAAGAACATGTTCTCCACTGATCATCTGGTTTCCTAAACCACTAATGATCAGAGATCAGCAACAATCCTCAGGATCGCCGCTGATCTCTGTTTCATAAAAGGACACCTATGTCCTATTGGGAAGACTTCATTTTACTTCCTGTCCTTGATACATAACAGGCATTGCAAGGGCAGTTGTCCCCATTCTAGGATTATCCTCGAGACAGCAAGTGAATGTAAATTTTACCTCTCACTTCCGGCCTCAGTTCATAGAACACAGGGGAGCATCGAACAGCAAATGTGGCTTTTGCTGGACATGGCAAGTGAGATAGAGGTCTGGAACGAAAAGTTAAAATAAAAATCTATTACAAAGGAATAAAAAAAAATAATAAAAAAACCAAACAATTACCATGCATCACAATACAGTATAAGCAAAACATATCCATAAAGGCAAGTGAATACTAGGGTTGCACCGAAATTTCGGCTGATATGAAAAAAAAAAAAGCACCAATACAGGTGCCGAAAAAAACCCCGCCCCCTCTGCTCGGTAGTTCTACCTGAGAAACAATCTAATGATCCTGGCACTGAGCATAGAGATTAGTGAAGGCAAGATGGCCTCCACTCATCTCTATGCCCTTGGAGGACCGTAACGATGTCACTTCCAGTTCCGGACATTTTTTTTTTTTTTTTAAAGCACTAGATGAATGCTTTTTTTTTGATCTAATGCTTTACATTGCAGAGGAGAGATGTGAGGTCTTATTAATCCCATATCTCTCCATAAAGAGAACCTGTCACTAATTATTTCTATAACAGGGGATGTATGCATTCCTTGTGATAAGAATAAAAGCGATTACATTTTTTTTTTTCAAAAGGGACAGTGCAAAAAAAAAAAAAAATTGTAAAAAAATTTAAAGTGCCCCGTAGTAGCGAACGCATACGTAGGCCACGCCCACATATGTAAATGCTGTTCAAACCACACATGTAAGGTATCGACACGAACGTAGGAACAAGAACAATAATTCTCGCACTAGACCTCCTCTGTAACTTTACACTACTAAAGTGTAGAAATTTTTAAAGTATTACCCATGGGGATTTTTAAGTACCGCAGTTTGATGCCATTCCATGAGCGTGTGCAATTTTAAAGCATGACATGTTGGGTATCTATTTACTCGCTGTAACATCCTCTTTCATATTTTCAAAAACATTGGGGTATATATTGTTTTTTTTTTTTTTTTTAAAGTGTATTTTTTCCAAAAAATATACATTCATTTTTAAAAACTGCGCATTTCGGTTGTCGGCCAAGTGCATTTTGAATTTTTGTTTGACACCAGAATTTTCATTTCGCTGCACTACTAGTTAATACTATTCCAAAAGATACAAAATTCAGATGATGCTTTCGACAGTGCTACAGGAAAACCCCAGGAGGTTGAAGGAGAAACAAAAGGGATATTTTTATTAACCTCCCTAGCGGTCTGATTATGTCAGTATTTCTGTGCTCAAAGAGGTACATTTTTTTGCATGGAAATATGTATTTTTTTTATTGTAGGCCTGTAATTTTTAGGAATAACTCTCTGAAATCTGTCCGAACAAGAGTCTAGTAAACATCCCGGGTATGTTAAAATTTGAAACACGAAATTATAAATTATAATTTAATAATCATAAAAAATAATATAATAATAATACATTTAATTCAATAATATAATCAAACCAAAAACACTGAAATGTGAAATATAGCGCCAGGTTCGCACATCACTGATCAAAGTCACAGAATCGTTTTCAGTGTCTGATGACGAATTTCCCCCACAAATCATTATCACTCAATTCTGCAAGTGGTTCTGATTTACTATCGCTGTTCTCTAGCCGGTCTAAAACCGCTTTTGACCTAAAGGGACGCTTTTTGGACGCCATGGACGTTTCTCAGTTTCCAGGCAATAAGAACAGCAAAAATGTAGGCAGGGCACAGGACAAAGCACTCGGGACAAAATGTATGTGAAATGGTTTGATACAATAATGGTTTACTATGTGATTTTAGTGTATTTAGTGAATGTCACTTTTTATCACTTTCAAATTTCCCGCCAGTTCCGTCCCCCGTACGTCCCGACGCTCGCAGGGGACGGAACCCAGATGACAGATGCCGGCATCCGCCGGATTACATTGCCGGGGACACTGCAGGAGGGACATCGCGGGAGCGCAGGACAAGGTAAGTGAAGAACAGATGCCGGAGCAGCGCCGCATGGTAAGCCCAAGTGTAGCTCGGAGTTACCGCTTTTGGTACTGAAACCTTACCCCGAGCTACACTCGGTAATACCGTCATGGAGGTTAATAAATGAGGAAAAAGACTTCACAAATCACATTAGTCCTTTAACAAAAAGCAGAGCTGGAGAAAAGATGTTCATCTTCCTAGAACATTAGTAAATAAGTGTGGCATGTGTGGTCCTAGGTAGGCTAATTTTTTTTTCCCCTAGTGTACCCCAAGGTTAAAGACTTCCTGTGTTCTTCAGTGGATGCCAAAAAAAAGGAGTTCTATTGGACAGATTGTTACAAATAGAGACAGTAGGAAATACACACCTCTTCAGATTATTCCTGGAGAAGACATATGTTGTGTTGACAAGAGCATCCCCAACCTCAACACAGCCAGCTAAAAAAAGCAGAGAAGGAACCACGAGATGAAATCTTCGAGTAGTTGTATATGAATGGGTACATCAATCATTTACTACATATAGGAACCAAACCTGGAGTGAGGAGGAGAGAGCCATCAGGTGTAAATGTCAGTCTTCTGAAGAAGGACTTCATGCTGTCATCATGGAACATTCGATAACTTTTTTTCTGAAAAGAAGAACAAATCAAAGATATATATTTTTTTTTTTTTCAACCTAAACATACATTGTAAACCATATATCTCCTCCACAGACATAGTGCATTAGGAAAGGACGGCCCATAACCGGCAAGTCTGTTAACATGTGATCAGCTGTGATTGGACACATTTGATCACATGGTAAAGGCACGCTGTGATTGACCCTTTACTGAGATCTGTGATCAGCTGTGTCCAAAAAGGACAGTGGTCACAGAGCATCCCCGATAGGAGGGTTCTGGGAGGACATTCATAGATGCCCTCCCAGAACTGGACGATTGCGCTGTGGCTGCGAAACACAGCAAACATTTCTCAAAAGGAAAAGAATAAACAAGGGGGAGGTTGGAAATAAGAAAGAAGCCTATAAAAGTATACTTTACAGAATACTTCGAGTGGAACTTTACACATCACAAGTTGATAAAAAAAAATACTGCTCCTTAGCTAGGAACATATATTTTCCATTAATAATTGTGCTATCAAAATTAGTGTGTGCTGTAAATTGCTTCCAGCATTGTTCCTCTTTTTGCTGGAGGATGACATTTTGCTTAAGCCCAGAGTCCCTGAGCAGCAGTAAATCTTTAGGCTGTCAGCAGATTGGCCTCTACATTTTCAGCACAAAACCGAAAAATAGAGACCAATTGAGTATATGCAGAGCAGTGTGAGACAGTGGTGCCTGTATTTAAAAAGGAGTCAACATGTTTACCAAGTAATTATAGACCTGTTAGTTTAACGTCTAGGTTGGGAAGATATTAGAGAGTTCTTGCTGGAAAAAATATTTTAAGCAACAGACAGCATGGATTCACGAAAGAGAAGTTGTCAAACAAATCTGATTTCTTTTTATGAGGAAGTGAGCAAAACCTTGGACAGAGGGCTGGCGGTAGACGTGGTATACTTGGACAGAGGGGTGGCGGTGGACGTGGTATACTTGGACAGAGGGGTGGCGGTGGACGTGGTATACTTGGACAGAGGGGTGGCGGTGGACGTGGTATACTTGGACAGAGGGGTGGCGGTGGACGTGGTATACTTGGACAGAGGGGTGGCGGTGGACGTGGTATACTTGGACAGAGGGGTGGCGGTGGACGTGGTATACTTGGACAGAGGGGTGGCGGTGGACGTGGTATACTTGGACAGAGGGGTGGCGGTGGACGTGGTATACTTGGACAGAGGGGTGGCGGTGGACGTGGTATACTTGGACAGAGAGGTGGCGGTGGACGTGGTATACTTGGACAGAGAGGTGGCGGTGGACGTGGTATACTTGGACAGAGAGGTGGCGGTGGACGTGGTATACTTGGACAGAGGGGGTGGCGGTGGGACGTGGTATACTTGGATTTTGCAAAGTGTTTGACACAGTTTCCCACACACGGCTAATGTGTAAGGTAAAGTCTACAGGTTTGGAAAAATCTGTATGTAAATGGATAGAAAACTGGCTAAAAGATCGTATTCAGAAAGTAATGGTTAATAATTCATACTCTGAATGGTCTGGGGTTGTCAGGGTTCAGTGTTGGGGCCCTTACTTTTTAATAGATTTATAAACCATATAGGGTCTGGGATTATAAATCCCATTTCAGTCTTTGCAGATGACACCAAGCTGTGCAGTGGAATAACGTCCTTACAGGATGTCTTCAACTTACAAGCCAACCTCACAAGCTTAATAATGGTATGCAATGCCAAGCTGCGGTTTCTAAAGCGAGCAAAATCCTCTCTTGTATTAAAAGAGGTATAGACTCCAGAGACAGAGAGAGAGATATATTACCCCAGTACAAATCATTAGTCTAACGGAACTGACCCCAGATTCCACTGGGGTACTTCCGTTAGAATACCGCTTCCCTGTCCGAACACCGACCACAGACACCACAGCAGACCATACAAGACTAGAGAACACCAGTCTTGAAGTAAACCAGGAAATAGACTACTTTATTTTAACACAGATACAAGATATATACATTCAAGGGATCAACCCCCCCTCCCTGCATAATGACACAGGGCGGGGCAATCTACATTTAGTAACAAGAGACACACCAATAGATAGTCCCATCAGGAGGGAGGGCTGCTGTAGACAACCCCCCCCCCCCCCCCCCCCCCCCCACCAAGTCAATACACAAACACATACATCCCATAATAGTTTGCTCCCAAGCAAGACACACAATAGAACAATGGGATGCAATCACATGGCATTAAACAATCAACAACCCCCACCCAAATATTAGGGCAGATCACCCTGTACCCCTAACAGGCACAGGGTGACTTACACATAATAGGGATATGGGGAGCTGAGACAGGGGTCTCCCCACCTCTCCAAAGTGAGCTAGGTTCCATGGGCCCCCCACCCAAAGTGACTCCCGTCACAATTAGTAAAACCTCATCTGGAATATCAGTTCAGTTTTGACCACCAATTCACAAAAAGAACATTGGGGAACTAGAGAAAGTACAGAGAAGGGCAGCCAAACTGATAAGAGGCATGGAGGAGCTCAGCTATGAGGAAAGATTAGAGGAACTGAATTTATTCTCTTGAGAAGAGGAGATTAAGGGGGGATAGGATCTCCATGTATAATACATAAGGGGAGATGTGATCTCCATGTATAATACATAAGGGGGGATATGATCACCATGTATAAATACATCAGTGCTTCATATAGTGAACTCTGTGTAGAGCTATTCACCCTGAGGCCATCAGAGGACAAGGGGACACTCTTTACGTCTGAAGGAAAAGAAATTTAATATCCAAAACACAGAAAAATTTCTTCACAGTAAAAGCTGTGAAAACGTGGAATAGACTCCCTCAAGAGTTGGTTCTGGCCAGCTCAGTGGATTGCTTTAAAAAGTCCTGGATTCTTTCCTAGATACACAGAATATAACTGGATATAACATTTACAGGTAAAGTTGATCCAGAAAATATCCAATTGCCTCTCGGGGATCAGGAAGGAATTTTTTCCCCGTGGTTGAAAGAAAGAAAAATGCACAACATGTAGCCAGCCCTACCAATCCCATCAGTGATACCAATCTTGCAGAGCTACACCAGTCAAAGAATCTTAACATCCCACAGTGGGTGTGTATAATGCCTGCATCCCCTATTATGTGCTCTGGCTTCAGCCACAAGCAGCTACACTATATTGCCAAAAGTATTGGACCCCTGCCTTTACATGCACATGAACTTTAATGGCATCTCAGTCTTAGTCCGTAGGGTTCAATATTGAGCTTGCCCCGCCCTTTGCAGATTGTAAGCTAAAGAGCAGGGCCCTCGATCCCTCTGTTTTTGCATTGTATTGGTATTGTTCTGTCCAATGTACAGCGCTTGAACTATTGGCGCTTTATAAATACTGTCTAATAATATAATAATAAAGCTTCAACTCTTCTGGGAAGGCCACCATTCTGTCTATCCAGACCATTCTTCCAGAAGCACATTTGTGAGGTTAGGCATGAGACGAGAAGGTCTGGCTCACAGTCTCCACTCTAATTTTATCCCAAAGGTTTTCTATCGGGTTGAGGTCAGGACTCTGTGCAGGACAGTCAAGTTCTTCCACCCCAAACTCGCTCATCCATGTGTTTGTGGACCTCGCTTTGTGCACTGGTGCTCAGTCATGTTGGTACAGGAAGGGGCCATCCCCAAACTGTTCCCACAAAGATGGGAGCATGAAATTGTCCAAAATGTCTTGGTATGCTGATGCCTTAAGAATTCCCTTCACTGGAACTAAGGGGCCAAGCCCAACCCCTGAAAAACAACCTCACACCATAATCCCCCTTCCACCAAACTTTACACTTGGCACAATGCAGTCAGGCAAGTACTGTTCTCCTGGCAACCTCTAAACCCAGACACATCCATCGGATTGCCAGACAGAGAAGCATGATTTGTCACTCCAAAGAACATGTCTCCACTGCTCTAGAGTCCAGTGGTGGCGTGCTTTACACCACTGCATCCAACGCTTTGCATTGCACTTGGTGAAGAAGGGTTTGGATGCAGCTGCTCGGCCATGGAAACCCATTCCATGAAGATCTCTATACACTGTTGTGCTAATCTGAAGGCCAAACAAAGTTTGGAGGTCTTTAGCTAATTACTCTGCAGACAGTTGGCGACTTCTGTGCACTTCAGCATGCGTTGACCCCGCTCTGTCATTTTATGTGGCCTACCACTTGGTGGCTGAGTTGCTGTTCTTCCCAGTTGGTTTCACTTTGTTAAAATACCACCAACAGTTGACCGTGGATTATTGAGTAGCAAGGAAATTTCACGGATGGACTTATTGCACAGGTGGCAACCTATCACGGGACCGCGCTTGAATTCACTGAGCTCCTGAGAGCGACCCATTCTTTCACAAATGTTTGTAGAAGCAGTCTGCATGCTTAGGTGCTTGATCGTATACACCTGTGGCTATGGAGGTGATTGGAATACCTGAATCCAATGATTTGGAGGGGGTGTCCCAATGCTTTTGGCAATATAGTGTACATCCCTACAGTCCTAGAGGGACACAGTAATGAATTATTGGCTGGCAGGTGAAAGCAGAGTGTTCAGTGGTGGAAGCACGTGTCCAACACATGCTGAAGTGTTGGATGCTGAAGATTCTTGGCAGGTGTAGCTCTGCAAGAAAAAAGGCTAGTAAACATTATGACTTTATTACTAGCTGTTTTATTTAGCATTTTTTTTTTAACACAATGTATTTAAAAACAGTAACAAAACAATGTGCACTTATGTTCGCTATACTCGGTATCATAAAGAAATGTATTATGGCATGCCGTGTCCACATACCTCTCCTTCAGGTGCGTTTTTAGATGGCATCTTGCTGACATTGAAGGCCACTCGCTTTGTTTCTGTTCTGTACACCCTCATAACACTACATGCAGGGAGAAGAACTGTTAGGTGATTCTCAAAGGAGCAAATAAAATTAATTTGTGCTCTTAGGATGCATGATTTTATGTATCACAGAAATACTGATTAAAAATAATAAAGAATCATGACACCACAGCAGTGTATATACAACCTAACTCTTCAAAGCCCAAGTAAGAACTCTTACCGATCACAGCTCAGTGTAGCTATGTACTGGCCCAGAGGATCCCAGCTCACTCCCTGCACATAACTCTTGTGTTCATTAAATATGTAAATTTTCTGACCTGTAAGTAATAAAACCAAAAAATACATATAGCTTTGGTAGTATCAATAATTTTCAGCCTACAAACACAGCTATTGACCTAATATCATTGGAAAGCACACAGGGAACGATTCTTACAGTGAAACCAAACAACTTAAAGTGAAATTTCACTCTCGCAATCAACATTTACTTTTAATCCTTATAATGCTAGCATTAGTACAAAAAAAAAAAAAAAAGTATATCATATTTACTTTTTTTTTTTTTCAAATATTTCTTCAATTACTTCCTGGTTTCCGGGCTTAGGCCAAAATTATGTCATGCATCCCAGGAGTCTTCAAGAGGAGCTCTCTCAAGTAAGCACACCGATCCTTCTGAATGCATGAGCTAAGGCAGATGGATTCCAGGAAGTAAATGTACATGAATCAACTGCCCCTATTCAAGATGGCCTTGGCCAAAAAAGCTAGGGGGGTGTTTTTCAAAGTGATTTCTCAGCAAAACAAAGGATAAAGATAGGAATGGATGGATGGATGAGTTTGCTTTGAATAATAAAACTGAATTCAATGGCTTTTTTCGGTTTCTGATGCTCAGATGCAGTGTAGTTTCTGCTTTAAGGCACAGTTGAAATACATATAGGTTTACTGTGTACCCTGCCCAAGGATTTTTAATTTTAGATATGAAATCTCACACACATTTTCCCACTGCACAGCCAGACAAATAATACACGTAGCTCCTGAATAAAAAATTCAGCTTCCTATGTCATCTCTATAAAACTGGCCCAGAAAGCAGCAGTGACCTTATGCACTACCAGAGTGTAGGGATATTGTAATTATATATAAACATATATACAGTCAGGTCCATAAATATTGGGACATCGACACAATTCTAACATTTTTGGCTCTATACACCACCACAATGGATTTGAAATGAAACGAACAAGATGTGCTTTAACTGCAGACTGTCAGCTTTAATTTGAGGGTATTTATATCCAAATCAGGTGAACGGTGTAGGAATTACAACAGTTTGCATATGTGCCTCCCACTTGTTAAGGGACCAAAAGTAATGGGACAATTGGCTTCTCAGCTGTTCCATGGCCAGGTGTGTGTTATTCCCTCATTATCCCAATTACAATGAGCAGATAAAAGGTCCAGAGTTCATTTCAAGTGTGCTATTTGCATTTGGAATCTGTTGCTGTCAACTCTCAAGATGAGATCCAAAGAGCTATCAGTGAAGCAAGCCATCATTAGGCTGAAAAAAACAAAACAAACCCATCAGAGAGATAGAAAAAACATTAGGCGTGGCCAAAACAGCTGTTTGGAACATTCTTAAAAAGAAGGAACGCATCGGTGAGCTCAGCAACACCAAAAGACCCGGAAGACCACGGAAAACAACTGTGGTGGATGACCGAAGAATTCTTTCCCTGGTGAAGAAAACACCCTTCACAACAGTTGGCCAGATCAAGAACACTCTCCAGGAGGTAGGTGTATGTGTGTCAAAGTCAGCAATCAAGAGAAGACTTCACCAGAGTGAATACAGAGGGTTCACCACAAGATGGAAACCATTGGTGAGCCTCAAAAACAGGAAGGCCAGATTAGAGTTTGCCAAACGACACCTAAAAAAGCCTTCACGGTTCGGGAACAACATCCTATGGACAGATGAGACCAAGATCAACTTGTACCAGAGTGATGGGAAGAGAAGAGTATGGAGAAGGAAAGGAACTGCACATGATCCTAAGTATACCACCTCATCAGTGAAGCATTATGGTGGTAGTGTCATGGCGTGGGCATGTATGGCTGCCAATGGAACTGGTTCTCTTGTATTTATTGATGATGTGACTGCTGACAAAAGCAGCAGGATGAATTCTGAAGTGTTTCGGGCAATATTATCTGCTCATATTCAGCCAAATGCTTCACAACTCATTGGACGCCGCTTCACAGTGCAGATGGACAATGACCCAAAGCATACTGCAAAAGCAACCAAAGAGTTTTTTAAGGGAAAGAAGTGGAATGTTATGCAATGGCCAAGTCAATCACCTGACCTGAATCCGATTGAGCATGCATTTCACTTGCTGAAGACAAAACTGAAGGGAAAATGCCCCAAGAACAAGCAGGAACTGAAGACAGTTGCAGTAGAGGCCTGGCAGAGCATCACCAGGGATGAAACCCAGCGTCTGGTGATGTCCATGCGTTCCAGACTTCAGGCTGTAATTGACTGTAAAGGATTTGCAACCAAGTATTAAAAAGTGAAAGTTTGATTTATGATTATTATTCTGTCCCATTACTTTTGGCCCCTTAACAAGTGGGAGGCACATATGCAAATTGTTGTAATTCCTACACCGTTCACCTGATTTGGATATGAATACCCTCAAATTAAAGCTGACAGTCTGCAGTTAAAGCACATCTTGTTCGTTTCATTTCAAATCCATTGTGTGTGTGGTGTATAGAGCCAAAAATGTGTAGAATTGTGTCGTGTGTGTGTGTCCCAATATTTATGGACCTGTGTGTGTGTGTGTATGTGTGTGTATATATGTGTGTATATGTGTGTGTTGTATGTGTGTATATGTGTATATGTGTGTGTATATGTGTGTGTGTGTGTGTGTGTGTGTGTGTGTGTGTGTGTGTGTGTGTGTGTGTGTGTGTGTGTATATATGTGTGTATATATGTGTGTGTGTGTGTGTATCTATATCTGTCTCAAAAGAACTGTTGTACTATTAATAGAAGACAACACAGAGTATACTATCTCTAGCTCTCTATTTTATATCTATCTCTATATATATATATATATATATATATATATATACACACACACACACACACACACAGCGGGTAAAATAAGTATTGCACACGTTACCGTTTTTCTAGGTAAATATTTCTAAAAGGTGCTATTGACATGATAATTTACACCACATGTCAGTGACAACCCATGCAACCCATACCTGAAAAGAAACCAAAACAAATAAGTTCAGAAATTAGTTGTGTGTAATAAAATGGAATGACACAGGGAAGGTGTCTCATTACCAAGGTGTCACATCTCATGATGGGTAAAAGCAAAGAGCTCTCTCAAAACCTTTGCAACCTTATTGCTGCAAAACATACTGATGTCATTGGTTACAGAAGGATTTCTAAACTACTGAAAGTTCCAGTAAGCACTGTTGGGGCCATAATTTGGAAGTGGAAAGAACATAATTTCACCATAAACTGGCCACGACCAGATAATCCTCGCAAGATTTCTGACAGAGGAGTGAAAAGAATTATCAAAAGAGTTGTCCAACAGCCAAGGACCACTTGTCCAGAGCTTCAGAAAGGCCTGGAATTAGCAGGTACAACTGTTTCAAAGAAAACAATAAGTAATGCACTCACCGTCATGGCCTGTATGCACGCTCACCACGCAAGACTCCATTGCTGAAGAAAAAGCATGTAAAGCTCGTTTAAAATTTGCTGCACAACATTTAGACATGCCTGTGAAATACTGGGAGAATATAGTCTGGTCAGATGAGACCAAAATTAAACTCTTTGGATGCGATAATACACATCATGTTTGGAGGTCAAATGGCACTGCACATCAATTCAGGGGGAAGCTGTGGGGGAGAGGCGAGAACATGGCACTCACTAGCAGCGTGGTGTAGGAGCTACTGCACCCGCCGAAGATGGTGCTCGCCTGCCCTTGCGTGCTGTTGCCCATCTGGCTGCCTGGACTACTAGATGTGGAGGGTCTGGTGGAACCGGTGAACAGAGGGAGGCGTATGGGTGGACAGTATCGGTGCGGCTGCCGGAGGAGGGATCCGAGAGGAGAGGAGAGGACCGGGAGGACTTGAACGAGGTCAGGTGACCAGATGGCGAAGCTGAGAGCTAAGAGCCGGAACCAAGTGGATGGAACCCCGCTGCACCTCCCCCAACAGATCGCAAGCGCGTGCCTTTGAGCTGTTGCGGCAGAGGCCATGCAGGGAGCGGAGTGTGAGAGGGGACCGTGTGCGGTGCAAGAGGCAAGGAGAAAGCTCCATGGAACCGGCTGGAAAGTAGCTTCCCGGGGGAAAATACCATCAGGCCTGGGACCACACCCAGCGCTAAACACTAAAAGACAGCCAGCCCAACCCAGGAAGTAAAGAAGAACTTTCGATGGCGGCAGCAAGTACAGCACACACAGAAGAGGGTAAGTTACCGGGGAAGGCGTTTAAACCCCCAAAACTGAGCCCGTGTATGGTACTGTGAAGGCTGTGTGGCAAGAAAAAATAATACCAGTGTTTTGGGGGGTCCTAGAGGCCAAGATGTGGATGGGACAGTATATTACGGGCTCAGACTGAAATATAAATCTGCATTTAACAGCATAGTTTCCCGTAAGCCTGAGAAAATGAAGAGATCTGTCAAAAGGAGGGGGAGGGAAAACCCCCCAGTCAAATCCAAATATGAAAAAAAAAAAAATACATGCTTCCACAAGAGAAATGTTTACAGCAGCTAACTACAGAAAGTCAAGAAGAGTATTTTTGGAGGTCATGGGAGACTGCCTTTAGAGACAGCAGAAGGAGACCAGCTGAAAGAAATTTCAAAGTCGGAGGGGGGGGGGTCATGGAGGAGCAAGAAGTAAAATCTCAAATGCCCACAAAAGCAGAAATAGCTGGGATGTTCTCAAAACTAGAAACATCTATAAAAAGTGAAATGACGGTGTTACATAGTGATATTGGACAACGTTTGTCACGAGTAGAGGAGATGGATGGAAAGTTGGAGAATTATGCTCAAGAAATTAAGTAGAAGAAAGAAATGGAGGCACTGAAAAGAGAGCAGAGACTGTTGGCCTATAAACTGGAGGAGCAGGAAAATAGAGACAGAAGGAACAATTTAATTATCAGAGGTCTACCAGAAATGGCCGAAGAAGAAAATTTAAGGGACATCATGAGACTGTTTAACCCCATATTGAGAAGAAGAGTGCATTGGATAAGATCTCAAACAATTCCATCAGATACCCTTAGGACGTGACAGTAAGATTCCACCACTATGAGAAGAGAGAAATCTGGAAAATTTTTGCAGATAT